TTTAACTTTAATATGGAATTGAGTTAAAATACTATGGTTATAGGTTAATGCAGTGGGGCTAAGAATGGTTTTGGCAAAAGAATAAAAATATTAAAAGGCTTCAATTATGGCTATTCTTTCTTCTTCTTTTTAATGTTTTGAAATCCAAATTTTTAGAAAAAGGTCCTGATATCCAACCTTTTTTTATTTTTCTTATTAAAAAATTGGATGGCCTCTACAACAGGTTAGGGTTGTTGTTTCTGTAGTAACCATTCCTTATCGTAAACCTTTTCAAAAAAAAATTCCTTATCATAATCTCTTAACCACCCTAACCAACTTTTCCATCCCAGAGTACCAATGTAGTCTATCTACCAAGAAATATTGTAAAATATATAATTATTTAATTCAAAGTTCATATCTATGTATATGTACTCTCCGTTCATCGGACGGGTCTAACACCTAGTTATGAATCAAGGAATGTATTGAAAGCTCATTTGTGAGCACGGAGATCATGGGAATGAATGTATCATTAGATCTTGATTTTGAATAATTATTTTATGAGCAGTAAAATTTATTAATTTAACGAATTATTAAGTAATCGATAAATTAATAAATTATTAATTTAAAGAATCTGTATGAGAAAAAAAAAAGAACCGTTACTAAATTACTTAATTTGCAGTTGTCTTTACATCCGAATCAATCAAGTATTAAAACTATTCTGAACACTAAAAACCATACATAGTTCATATCATCTCCATGGTAAAAAAAAACAATTATGAATAGTTCATACTTATAAATATTTATAGTATTTATTTTTTTTTTTGGTCGTTGGTGTATTTATTAATTATGGTATTATTGGGACCTATAAATATATAAGAGATTTTCTGAAATATTATTATCTGATCATTTTATCGATTTTTTCACTACTTGGAACCGGAGAAAATTATTAATTGCTAGAAGTTATTAATTTATCGATTATTAATTTACCAACATTCTACTGTATATTATAATTAAGGAAAAAAATTTTATTTTGGGGGTTGGGGGGAGAAAAATTTTGTATAAGAAAATAGCACTAGAGATCAGCTTTCTTGTAGTGGAGGCTCAATTAAGCAGGATATATATTTTTTTGTGGATTTGGATCAATATCATCATCATATACTTTAGTCACTATATCTTTTCACGATAGCTTTTTACTATAAAGTCTAATACCAGGGAACATAATATCCTAACCACAAGTTAGTGTGTTTCTATTTGTATAAGAAAATATTATTTTAATTATTTGTTTAATGGATTACGGTAACCCAAACTTTTTTCTTTTTTGGTAATATAAATACAAATATTTTGGCTATATTTGAAAATGAAAAAAGATGAGTTATCTTTGAGTTATCTTTATGTAATTTAACAAACTTAATTTTTTTTTATAAAAAAAAAAAAGATGAATGAGAATATGAGAAATATTTCTTTTTGGGTGTAGAATTAGTGCTGCTGGTTGGGTTTTCAAATTACTAAACCAGTACACCAGGTGGGTACTAGTGTTGGAGATAACATTACGGATCTATAGTTGCAAAAGTAATATATTTACTCTCGTAACACGCTCCCTAAATCTATTATTTACACGAATTAGTGTTAAGCTTCAACCCTATACAAATTGGATTCATCAATTTCTTCAGAATTGCAAGTTGTCAAGTTCAATACCTAAATAATTCAACATTACCTTTCTCCTCTCAAACATCATTTGAACTAAGCAAATGAACTTTTAGGGGTTTCCTTCTTTCCCTGTTGTGTCCAGCAACTCTGATTTTCAGCTCACCATAGTCCTTGGAAGCTCGGTTGACCATCCCTTTAAAATAGAGCTTTTTCGAAATTTTTCTCGTTTTTTTTTTTTATATTTACAGGGTGTCCACCGTCGTCAACAGTAACTAATCACTCTCGCTAAATTGTAGACACCTCAATGGGTGAGACAGCTGGCCAAAAGTTACTTTATACCCATGGCAAAGTTTGAATCCTCAACCTATGATTTAGGGTGGAAGAGTCCCTTCCACTCCACCACAACCACTTAGGTTGAAATCTTTCTCATTCGATGTTCAGAAGCAAAAAAGCTAAAATGGACTTAAATTGGTAGTAATGTAAAATTGCATCTGCTTCTCAAGTTAGTCTTAATGGGCTGCAATCAATACATTTCTTTTGTCTTCCAAAAGCCCTGAACTTGTAACTGTTAACCTCTAGTTCTGGCTTCTTCTTCCTTCTTAAGTGAGCATTTTAATGCAAATTTGGTCCAATGAAGTACACAAAATTAATTTATTACCTAAAGCTTCATTTTCCTTCTTCTTTTTATTTATTTATTTTTTTTTATCAATTAGAAAAACAATCGTGCTTAAAAACTATGTTACATGTAAGCTACTACTTGCTTCTGCCGCCTTCTTTTTATCTTCAACATCAAACGTGCATTCTGATTTCTTCCTCCAAATTTGAACCATCTAAAATCATAATTTCAACATTTTCTCTCGTTTAACTTTAATTTTACAAAGTGAAATAAAACCAAATAAATGGAACATATATGCTCAAAACATCACCAAAATCTCACATAAAAGTGTGTAGCAAGCATATAACAAGTACACAAATCAATTACCAAAATAATAATAAGCACAACAACAACAACAACAACAACAACTTTAATGGTTGTTTAATGGGCAAATATTAATTTCTAATATGAACAAAAACCTTTAATTTCCGGATTTACTAGCACTATGCCCGAGCAGTGCTCAGATTGAATATACAATTTAATAATTATAATCGAACACATAGACTCTTTGCTACAAAGATGATTGTTTAATTTAAATTTTTTAATTTTAATACAATCGTTTTGAGGTAGGTAAAGTACGTGTTAATCCTATTTTCTAGATAATTATAAGATGTGTTATACAAAAACTGATACAAAATCATTATCGTTTTTGAAGACTTTCATGTTCATTTTTTTCTAAAATTTTAATTTATTTTGACCACGTCTCAATCATTAATTTTGGGCATACTGCAAAGATATTCTTATTAAATAGACGTTTTTGGGGCGTACTGCAAAAGTATTTCATTAAATATGATAATAAATAAAGCGTTAAAATTTTGGTGTTAAGTTGAGGGGGCAAAAAATCTGGATAGAAAAATGGTTTTTCTTTACTATTTACCTTAGATACAAAGTAAATATTAATTATATTGTACTTTTAACCCCAACCCACTGCAACTTTAAAAATTTACCGAGTTACAGTAAATAATTCAAAATTCAAATTAAAAAAAAAAAAGTAAAACCAAGATTTTTTACTTTAAACGCTACAATAAACCCTGAGTTATTTTTAAAATTTTACCGGGCTACAATAATTAATTCAAAATTAAAACTTTTTTAAGAAAAAAAAAAGCGAAAAAATTGTAGGGTGAAAATCCGGACAAAAATAAGTTTGTTTAAGTTTTTATCTTAGTTATTGGTTTGAATTGGATATATGATTCAAAATGTGGTTTGAGTGGATATTCAAAAAATTGTATGCATAATTATTAAAATAAAATAATATTATTTTTACACCACCACCTCCACCACCACCGCCCGCCGCCGGACCACCCACTACCGGCGCCAGAATTTTGCCGGAATCCGGCCGGTCGGCGGCGGCAGTCGGCGGCAGTGGTGGAGGTAGTGGAGATGGTGTTGTAAAAATAATATTATTTTATTTTAATAACTATGCCTACAACTTTTAAAATTTCCACTCAAACCACATTTTAAATCATATATCCAATTGAGACCAAAACTTAAAATAAATCTTTTTTCTATCCGGTTTTCACCCCCTTAATTTTCTTCACTCTGGGCCCGCTGGATTTTTGACTTGATAAAAATTTAGGGGGTGAAAATTCGGATAACAAATTTAGTTTACTTTTTCTTTTTTTAAAAAAAAAATTAAATTTCGAATTAGTTATTGTAGCGCTATAAAATTTTAGAGTGATAGTGGATTCGGTGTTTAAAAAGTGCTAAATAAAATAAGTAATTTTTAAAAATAATGTTAATTTTAAAATTTTATAATAATATTTTAAGTTAATAACTAATATTTTAATTAATAAATAATAAAATTTGAATTTTATAATATTTTTAATGATTTAAATTTTAATGAAAATTTAAATTAAGTGAAAAGATGAAAATACCTTTGATTCCGGCAAGTCAACAGCCGGTCAACATCAAGCTTGACGGAAAAGTGGTCGAAATAGTGAAATGGGACCAAAAAAGTGTGAAAATATAATGTTTAGGACTACGATATTGAAATGTTAATGTTAAGGACGTAAATTCAAGTAAGCCCAAATGTAAGGGACCATTTGAACATTTTACTTGCATTAGAATTGCAACTAATTAACTCTATTAATCATTTCCTTGATTATTATAAAGTATATTAATTTAATATGTATCAAAATATATTAATTTAAGATATTAAGTGTAGTATCTAGTTTTGCTCTTGTATGTAAATGTGAAGGTATTGTTTCCGTTGTGATCTAAGGTTGATGGTGTCCTTTCTATTGACCAAGAGGAATTTTCTTTCATATAACATTACTACATTAGCATTGATCAAGTACCCGATATTCTCTCTGCCCCAAAATTGTTGTCCAATTTATATTTTCATTTTTAATTCATGTACTAAAATAAAAAATCTAAATTGGACAATAATTTCGGGACGAAAGGAATATAAGTAAGTTCTTAGTAGTACCATAATTAATCGCTTCCGGCAGAAGTTGAGATTTCAAGATATCACAGTTTATGGTGATTAATCTATTAAGCATGGGAACACGGGCAAACACATGGTTATGGAGAGTAATCACATGCAAAGAAGATTATAAAACGTCTGACAGAATCCTCGTAAAATTAGAAAATTTGCCATGTTTTGTTCTTTACTCAATTTCTCATTTTCAAAGTCAACTAATTGGGGCTTACTCAGTGGGAATTAAAGACTAATTAGGTGTTGTTCATCAGCTCCTTTTAGCTTTTTTTCTCCTTGAGAATCGCAAGTCCTCAACTCTCTCAATGTATACCTCAATGTTGTAGAAATCACCACAGTCGTTTGATCATTTTGTGTTTGTGGCGTTTTTTATTTATTTTTTTTCTAATGTCATTTCTCACTATTTGACGCTCACCAAAAAGATTGCACGAACGGTACAGTAGAGTTGACAATGGGGGATTCAAGACCTGAACCCAGTAGTCATCATGATGATTGTGATCAAGATGATGCAACAATGTTAATGTCTATTTCGACGCCGTGGCCATGGCGGTACTGGTGCAGAAGAAATCCAGTCAAGTCGCTGGTTATTTTCGCAGTTTTGTTAGTGGCATCTGTTCTGTTTTCTGCATTGAAAGATCGGTCAACTGATCTGATGAACATCTGGATACTCAAAACAGGTACAGTACCTGTTTTGGTGTATGGAAAGATGGGATGAAATATGCATATTGCATTCTAAAGTCGGTTTCTGAGCTTTGAATTAAACCTCATGAACCTAATTTGGTGCTTTTTTTTTATAATTGTGTATCACTCTTTCAAGAAGATCAGGGAGAAAATCATCCCCGAGAAGTCAACGCAGAAGGGGATGAAGCATTTTATTAATTTTCAGCAGCATTTTAGTCTTTGTAAATTCCTCAATGACAATTTGATTAGTTTTCTTCTGATTTCACTCTCTTCATTTGAACAGATGGAGGAAAAAATAACATTCTACTGGATGAGGTACTACAAGAAAAGTATCTTGGTGGCCTAATTGCTCAAGGATTTGATGAGAAATCATGTCTGAGTAGGCATCAATCACTCTGGAAACACAAAGGGCCACAACCACATCGTCCTTCTTCCCATCTCATCTCTAAATTAAGAAACTACGAAAAGCTGCATCGACGATGTGGACCTCACACGAAGTCCTTCAAGAAATCGTTGGAGTATCTCAACTCGAGCGATCATGGAAATTACGACAAAATCACAGATTGTAAGTATCTTGTCTGGAAATCCCGAGATGGATTAGGGAATAGGATGATCACTTTGGTTTCTGCTTTCCTTTATGCACTCCTAACTCAGAAAGTCCTCCTTGTTGATCCTGGAGCTCACATTTCTGGCCTTTTCTGCGAACCATTTCGCGGTTCTTCTTGGCTGATTTCGTCACCTATCATTAATCGGTTCATGAACTTTGGTAGGTATTCTCCTCACACTTATGATTATATACTTAAGTGGGAGAATCGGTCAGTTATTCCGCCCTACGCTTTTATGTATTTAGCTCATGACTATACCGAAGAAGACAAGCGTTTCTTCTGTGATGAGGATCAGGCATTTATCCGAAAAGTACCCTGGCTTGTCATACAGTCAAATGTGTATTTTGTTCCTTCTCTTTTCCTGATGCCATCTTTTCAGAAAGAACTCAACTTACTGTTTCCAGAGAAACAAACAGTTTTCCATTTCTTGGGCCGGTATTTATTTCATCCAACAAATTCTGTTTGGAATTCTATCACCACATACTACAACAGTTATCTAGCAAGCGCAGATGAAAAGATCGGTATCCAGATTAGAATCTTTAGAACGAATCCTGATCCTTTCAATGAACTTTTGGAACAGATTCTCGCTTGTGTCATCAAGGAAAATGCCGTGTTGCCACAAATCAATGACAAGATGATGATGAAACCCGGAGGAGTTCAATCAAACAGGACTAAAGCTGTCCTGTTGACATCTCTTGACATTAGATACTTTGACGCAATTAAAAAGATGTACGAAGAAAATTCAACTCAGACAGGGGAAATCATTCAGGTTTTCCAGCCTAGCAATGAAACAAAACAGGATAGTTACAATCATATCCAGAATATGAAAGCCTTGGCAGAGATGTACCTACTAAGCTTGACTGATAAATTGGTCACAAGTTCGAAATCTACTTTTGGGTATGTTGCTCAAAGCCTAGGAGGTATGAGACCATGGATTCTTTATAGGCCTGAAGAATATAATGCCACGGACTCAAAGCCGGCTTGTCAGCGAGCCCTGTCAATGGAACCCTGTTTCCAGGCGCCACCAACGCTGGAATGCAAGACCCGCGAAAGGGTTGACACGGGTAAAATTGTTGGTTATGTGAGGCATTGCGAGGACATGAGCTGGACCTGGGGTCTTAAACTTTATGACAAACCTGATGATCCTTGATGAACGTTTTCATGATCAGCTTTTTTTTTTCTTTTTTCTTTGCGTTATAATTAGATTGGATATCAGTATGGAGCTGTCGGGCCAGTTTTTTTTGGTTGGGCTTTAGAGGATTCGACAAGAATGTGGGCTGGATTAGACGAAGCAGAAGACCACGAATCAGGCTTCTACAAGGCTCAGATCCCGATTTGGAAGAAAGAAACCTAGTTACTGTTGGATTAGAATTATGAACCCATTGGAACTCAAGCACTATTTAAAGGAATCGACGGTAGGAGAAAGGACACAATCAAAATCGCATCAAATTGCTTCTTTTAATTTTCAGTCTTTTATTTCCGATTTTGTCTCTGAAATTAGGGTTCTTCGAGAGCTCCTTAGATTAGGCCGATTATCGGCGGCTGTACTTGGTCCATGGCCGATTCTTATTTTTTCCGAGATTTCTCGTGTTTAATTTGTTTAGCACAAATTATTAAGAATAATTCACAATCGTTTGAGAGATATATTGTGCGATTCTTCTAGGACGCAAATTGTGCAAACATATTTTTGGCACGCCCGGTGGGACAATACAATCTCGTGCTAACTAAGTCAGGATGTCCACAGCAGCTACAACAGACGTGATTTCTCCTGATCCACCACCGTCATCGGTGGGTATAGCGGCTCCGACCCAAACGTCAACCTAGACTTTAAAAGGGGCTGACGCCGGATGACTCACCAAGGCAAATAGGTACTAATGAATTCGTACTCACTAAGGATATAATGAGCGTTATGGCAATATTGGTCGAACGAGTAAATCCGATGCAAGCAGAGTTGGGTGCCATCAAAGCTCCGGGACAATGGCCAGCCACACCAAGTTTTCTAGGGCAAGAAAGCAAACAAGCAAGATATCGAAACACTTTAGTATTAACCCTTTGCACTTTTTAGGGCATGATACTCCGAGATCATCCCAGCCTACAGCAGGCCCGTCTTCACGCTTGCCGTAGTTGGTATGAGAAGGTGGTGCCAAGTCAGCCGGCGTTTATCCCTCCATATGGGAACTTCACGTTCGACGGCAGATTGGCCCCACCAATCTCTGACCAATATCAGCCGTATTCAGTGGCAGTAGCCACAAAAGGGGTACCTCCAGCCCATGAATCGGCTGGGCAGACTAAAACCGATGAATGCAGCCAACGGACAGATGCGGAAGAAACTGTTTGGATACAAGACCAGTTGCCTGACAAAAGTTTTGGGCGGATGACCCCGTGCAAGGTTTTCAAAGGAGCGATCCCCCCTGTAGCTTTGCAAACAGCATCAACTACTGCACCAACAACAGAGTCGGCAGCAGCCAACCAGCAGACCCAGCAGTTGACGGAACAACAGTCGGTAACGGCTAGTAATAGATTGCCGGCCTTGATGGGAGGATCGTCAATGCCACCTCATCCTACAAGAGAAGAGGTTCAAGAAAAACGATTGTGGACTGGTGTCGAACATGAACAAAATAGGAATCAGGAAGCCGCTGCCAGGATTGCTTCCGCAGGCTTTAATACAGCTGAAAACACCAATGTCCCTAGGATACCGACTCAGACACCGACTGGAAACCAGACGAAGTATATTACAATGGCTAATCAACATGGACACCTTCAATATTTTCAAGTATTGCATCTCCCAAATCATTACTCGCAGTTGGTGCCAGTGGTTAATCCGCCAATCGGTGCGATAGGGAATGGAACCCAAGCAGCAAGAACTCCTTTGGTGCATCAAGGGCCTCCACTTAATGGGGTACATAACCAGCCTCAGGAACCTGTGACCAGTCAGGTGGTTGCACATGTTAATAATAACCCAACAAGCAATCAGGTACCAATGGCCCAAGGTGATGTGGATATTCGGGGTTTAAGGCCTCCCTAAAACCCTAATCACTTTTACGGCTTTTATAGTAACTTTTGTTGTAAGATTTTTACTTGTTATTGGTAACTCCAATTACAAGAGTTTTACGCGTGGTAGAAGTAGCCTTTTAGTTGCTAGAAGAATCCCTATCTCTTAGGGATAATATCATTTAAATCTTATCATATTCGTGAAAGGATAAGATTTATATGATTCCTTTTTATCTATTTTTTTTAGTTTGTTCAGAATAAGAAATCTATTCCTTGGTGTCTACTTTCAACCGTTGGATGAAGGCTACATCAAGATTGGATGGTTATGATTACTCTACAAAGAAGATATAGATAGATTTGACAACTCAGGAAGATTCTTTTCAAGATAAGATAAGACTCTTTTAGAGAATATCTCTTTATATTTAGAGTTTTATTTTCATTAAAATAGTGTGTCTTAAGTCTATAAAGGTGTCTAGATTCATTGCCTTAATAGATAAGATATGAGTTATTAGTTAGAGTCCAATTTGATTTCTAAGTAGTAATAAAGTTAGAGATCAAATTGTTCTCCTACTTAGTAGGAGAATTTTCAGTCACCCTCTACTATAAATAGGGGTGTTGGCCAGCTTTTGTAATATGAGTGATTTGATGAATTTTGAGGATGAATTGATAAGAACAAGTGAAGTTCTTTTTGTGTTAATCTGGGTGATTAATGTTTGATGTGCATAAGTTTGAATTTAGTTTTTTGCAAATTGCGCTACGACCCTTGTTGGAGATATGGTATTTCTCAACTAGGATGATGAGGTTGTGGTCCTTTTTGGAGCAAATCGACAAGTTTCCATAGCAAGGTGAGAATATAATTGACAAGTTCTAATAGGGTTCGATCCAAAAACACTTATTCCATTCTTCTTTTTAACTATATTTTATATTTTTTATTTAATTCATCCTTGAATCGAAATATCCCCGGAGTTGTTGGTTGTCTTAGCGAGTTATAGGTGGAACAAGAGCAAGTCTTGGTGCCGTAATTTGAAACAAGCTTCCGCAGTTTAGAGTCATGCTCTGTCATCTCCCAAAAATTCATATCACAAGGGCATGCAGATAACGTTGGGCAACAAGCGGCTGGTACAGGACAGGCGCTGATTAATGCTAATCCAGCATTGGCAGCTGATCAGATTGAATTGCGACGGTTAATGTCAGAAGTATTGCGGCGAGATTTGGGGTTCAAGATCCCGGAAGTACCAGGAAAGCCGTACCCAGCCTTAGTCGATTTGGAGCATTTTCCTCAGAACTTTAAGCTGCCTACATAGTTTTCAGGAGACGATGGCGCCAGACCGGAACACCATATATGGACCTACGAGCTAGAATGTGGGCAGTTTGCGAATAACGAATTCCATAAGTTGCAGTTGTTTCCACAATCATTGACTGGTACGGCATTGGAACGGTATCGGACATTAAGGCCTGGGTCAGTGGCTAACTGGGACGTTCAAAAGGAGTTGTTCTTACAGAACTTCTATGTAAGCAAACCGGAACGTACTATTGTTGACATGAATGATGTTAACCAAAAACCTGCCGAGACTGGGGAGCAGTATCTATTAAGGTTTAGACAGATGAGAGCCATGATACCAGGAGACTACCCGGAGCAAACCATCAGTACTATGGCCATAGCTGGTTTAACCAATTTCCGATTGAAGTTTGGATTAATAGGAAGAACTTTCCCGAACTTGGGTGAGCTGGCTGAAGCGATTTGCTAATCAAACAACGTCATTACCAAGGAGGCTGAGAGCCGTAAGGGTCGCGGTAGACAGTGGTTTAATCCTCCTAACCAGCAGTCAGTGAATCAGGCTCAGCACTTTGGCTTAGATGAGGAGGATGAATTTGAAAATATCAATGCGGCCGAAATAGTAAACATGAAGGGATATAAGTGTAGTGCGTTGAGGAAACCTAGTATTCCACAAGAATATGGTACACTAGGACCGGGAACAGCTATCGGTGCAAAGCCGCGTGCTGATCTCAATCATTCGAGACGGACCTATTCATTTGATATCACGCAGCAAGAGACAATCTTTGAAGACATGTTGAAGACTGGCATGTGACTTATCGGAAGGGCAAAAATAGCTGAAACCTGTCGATATTGAAGGAAAGACCTATTGCAAATACCATATGTCCATGACCCATGGAACCAATGATTGTGTGGTTTTCCGGAACGTCCTACAAAAGACGATTGACAGTGGGGATGTCCAAGTGGAAGAACCAACAGCAAAACCATTCCCCGTAACATGTAGTAGGAATGATAAACATGGATCCGCAGGCAGCCGCTTATGTTAGACAATTGGTTGTCAGGATTGTGATCGAGTGGTTGATTTGATGAAAGAGCAAGTTTGCCGCCTGGGAAGTGTAAATGGTGGACATTTGCACCACACGAAATACTTCCCCAGTAGGCGGAAGAGGAAGTGACTATTAAGTTGATGGACAATTACAAACTTGGGTTAGAAAATCACGAGTATAGGAATTACCAGAAAGTTACCAACAGAAGGTAGCTACGTCGTTAACACAGGTTCTTCAAAATCGGCATGCAGAGCATCTGGTGTCGATAAATGAAGGTATCGATCAATATGCTGAAGGATTTGGGTCAAGACAACCAGTTCATGAGCGGTTAGGTCCACGTACATCCCAAGGATTTGGGAGGGACAGATTGTAGTCAAGAACGGTTAAGGATAGGTTGTCGTGGCCATATCGTGGACAAGGGGCTAGTTCTGGAAGATCTACCCAACCATTTGTGCTGCCTCTAAATAGTGCAACGGCCAGGATGATAAGGCACAGTCAAGTTTCCGACAATTTGGGGCATAGAGTAGAACATCCCAGATTTCTAGCTCTAATATCAGCAAATAGCGGCATGATCCGGACTCAGCGTAGAAGGTGGCAGCGCCAACGGGCAGGAAGGTATTAGGAATTGAGGCAAAAAAGGGAGCTTAAACAATTGCCTTATAGTGCGCCTAGTAAACAAGTCCGCATAACTAAGCAATGGCGGGTCAAGGAGCAAGATAATATGGATGTCAATATGGTATATGTACTTCCCAAAGAATATGTTGTTAGGCAAGCTATGGCAGAACTTTTGAAAGTAAAGATTGATGAGCCAGAAGAAACACTGATGCCAAAAGCTAGTCAACAGTCAAAAGCAGTGTTGGGAATTAAGGTAACAACCGATGGAGATTCTCCAGCAGTGGTTATTTCTATGCCAAAATCGATGTCTACCAGCCACGTGAAGCCGCTGTATGTGCAGGCTTTGTTGAATGGTGTTATTAATAGGATATTAGTCAATAATGGTGCAGCTATCAATATTATGCCCACTTTTACATTGCGAAGATTGAGGAAGCAAGAATTAGACCTGGTTCCTACTGAGATTGCGGTCGGTGGTTTCACTGCGGATGTAACAAGCACTCGGGGAGTTAAAGCGGAATTAGGCTCCCACGAGTCATATCGGTCTTCTTCATAGCGGATACTACAGGGTCTTATAACGCTCTGTTAGGCCGTGACTGGATCCATTCGGTCAAATGTGTCCCTTCATCTTTTCATTAGGCTTTGGTGATTTGGGGGGTGAATGGACTGGAGTGATAAAACTCGATGCTAAACCATTTACAGTACAAAGCAATGTGGTGAGGCGTTTTATTATGAAAAAAGATGTTGGTCCATGTAGGTTGCTTGGAATTGATAAGCATGGAAAACCTATGACCGCAATGCCTATGAAGAATATAAGGACCAGAGAGTGGAAAATGTTTCTACAAGAGATCCGCAGGCCATGTCAATATTTGACATCTAAGCCGTAGGATGCTGGACCGATTATAGAAGAGGTTTCTGATGATGATAAAAGACTCAATAATTGATTGGTTGGAGTCGTTGGTGTTATGTATAGTGGATGGTGTTTGTGAAGATGAACCCGCGGTTGAATATGATGATATTGAATTGACAGAATTGGCAAAAACAAGTAGTAAATTGGAGGATGATGCCGTGGCAATAAAGGAACCGATTGAATCTGTGAATTTGGGAATCCGTGAAGAGCAGAAACCAACATTCATTTAGTGCCGTATTTTCAGTTGATCAGAAGAAGTAGGCTGTCAATTCTGGCGGGTTCGGTCGGTTTGAGTGAAATTGATTCGGGTTAATCGATTTTTTCTCTTAATGCACCAGCCCGAAACCGAATCGCAAAATCTATAGCACCGAACCGAACTGATCGAAAAAATTTCGGGTTCATCGATTCGGTTTCGGTTCACCCACATAATTTTTTTTCCCTTTTTTTTCCTGAGAAAGTCATCAGATGATGTTTAGCACTTTCTCCTCCGGGAAAAATAGACAGCAAAATCTCATTTCCAAGGAAATAGTAGCACAAATACAACAAATTCTTATTAATCCTACCAAATCCTTTCAAAAAGAACAAAAAATATGAAAAAAAATCAAACAAATAGAAGGTGGAATTGGTCAAATCTAAACGATTGTTGCTTTAGTCCAAAAAAAAAATCGCTTGAAATCGTATCCCGTTGCTATAGTAGCTTGAAGTTGATGCTGATATCTTTTAGATATGGGTGATTTTGATGGAAATAGGATGAAGAAAAATAAAAATGGATGATACAAAATTGCAGGATCTGAGAAGATATAGAAAAAAAGAGGGATGAAATCGTTGCTTAACCGAGGATGAAGACGAAGTCGCTGACGTCGATTCTGCAGATATAGCTAAGCTAGAGTGTTGTTGTTGGTTGGTGGTGGGAGTTGTAGCCAAGAGAGGTGGAGAAAAAAGAGGGAGGGGTTGTCTGTTGTGGAGGAGGGTGACGACTTCAGAAGAAAAAAAATAAGACTGAACTCTTAAAGTAGTCAACCCTATATATATATATATATATATATATATATATAAATAATTAAAAAAAAAATATTATTGTTTTGGGTTTTAGGGCAGTGCCCGAAGTAAAATTATCCCGCTGCGCACCCGCACCGAAATACTTATACGGTTAATCGGGTAGACCCGCACAGCCCCGAATTCGCTCGATTAACCAAACCGTTTGACCCGAAATACTTATACGGTTGGGCCAGTTTTTTCCGGTTGGGCTTTAAAGGATTCGGCAAGAATGTGAGCTGGATTAGACGAAGCAGAAGGTCACGAATCATGCTTCTAGAAGGCTCAGAGCCTGATTTGGAAGAAAGAAACCTAGTTAGTGTTGGATTAGAATTATGAACCGACTGGAACTCAAGAACTATTCAAAGGAATCGGCGGTAGGAGGAAAGATACAATCAAAATAGTATCAAATTGCTTCTTTTAATTTTCAGTTTTTTATTTTCGATTTTGTCTCTGAAATTAGGGTTCTTCGAGAGCTCCTTAGATTAGACCGATTATCGACGGCTGTACTTGATCATCAAAGAGATTAATAAAATCTGACCCACGGCCGATTCTTATTTTTTCCGAGATTTCTCGTGTTTAACTTATTTAGCACAAGTTATTAAGAACAGCGCACAATCATTTGAGAAATATGTTGCGGGATTCTTCTAGGACACAAATTGTGCAAACAGGAGCTTTATCATTTCTGCTGCAATGATCGCCTGTAGTCAACCAATTTTTACCATCTCGCTGCATAATAGAATCGTATATAGTCCTAGACTCCTAGTCACATGCTGGATACCTGCCGGAAAAATGACTCTTGAACAATATTCTTGGATGTCTCCATTTTGAGTTTGATCTCTAAGTAATGGTAACAGTAAAATACATAATAATTCACTATAACACATATACACAATCCATCAAAAACACGGTAAGGTTTATAAAGTTCGATCTCTGAGATAAAATCAAACAGTCAATCACATGAAAGAAATCACGGGCAGATCAAGCCACTTGCAATAGTATGCATTCCAAACAAATTTTGATATGACCGAATCGCCTGCACATCTGTGCCAAATCGATCACGAAGCTGAGCGTTTCCAAACTCTAGTACTCCCTTCGTCCTATAATTATTGTCCACTTTGCCCAAAAAATTTTGTCCCAAAATTATTGTCCAATTTGACTTTTTATGGATCAAGTTACACATTTGTCCTTAGTAAAAAATATTATCTATAAAATCTTAGTGGTTAAACAATTACTTATGTAGGGTTATATCCGATTATTTAAGGTAAAATATTGTTAAGTTTGACCAAAAATAAAATCTTTCATATTAGTAAAACTGGACAATAATTATGGGACGGAGGGAGTAACTGTTAAGAATTTTTACAAAATTTACAATACAAGTCGTTCAAAATCTGCTCGTCTGTGAAGTTTATAATGCTTAACTTCAAGGGTTAGCCCAATAGTTATGAAACAGAATCATAGTATGAAGTCCTGGGCAGAAAAGCATGTACTAAGCTTCACACATAAAACGGTCACAAGTTCAAAATCGAATTTTAGGTATATATGTTGCTCAAAGCCCTTTGAGGTGCGAGGCGATGGATTCAGTACAGTCCAGAAGAATATATAACGCCTCAAGTCCAGGTTATCAGCGCACCCTCTCAATGGAACACTGTTTCCACTGGAAGGCAATGAGCCTAAGTGATCATTTTCAGGATCAGGTTGCTTATTGCACAATCTATGCCTTAACAGTATGCTTTTTATCTCCCGAATCGCCATCATCTCTGTCTGTGTTGTATCAGGGCACAAAACTCGACAATTCGCAGGCTTTCTGAATTCAGGATTAACAAAATCCCATACTTTTAGTTTTAGTTCCAGTTCAGGCATCTCCCAATCAGGGAAATCCACCAAGAAGCTAGATTAGGTATGACATATTCCATGTCAAAAGTAAATTAACCATGCACATTGAAAGTGAAATCAATGTGATTGATGCAATCCAAAAACCCAGACTCATCAAATGTTCCATTTAGGAAGTTGAGTTTGACGAACCCCGATAAGTTTAAGTCTCCCAGAATTTACTTTTTTTTTAAACTAATAACTTGAATCAAGGTAGGGATCAATGAATATCAAGTTTTCTGGGGGTCATTTTCTTGATGATGAATGATGATAACTTGATGCCTCTTCCTTTATCAGTCTAATCAATCAATTGAAGAAGTAATAGTAAAATGTGACCCTTTGTTTGCCTCATTTCACCAATCCTAGTCTACAGTTTTTTTTTTGTTTTTGCAGTTTCAATCACCAAATGTCAAATTACAAATTAATGCAAATATTTACGCATATCGCCTGCTATCATCGTCATCATCATCTTTTTCCAGTCTGCATTGATAATACAGTCCAGATTATAAAATTTCGCCTCCCATGCAAAAGTTTTGTTAAACACAGACGAAAACACACAGTTATCAGGCATATGTCAGTTGCTCTAATCACTGCTAGAATTCGGGTTAGTTCTTCCTCCAACACACCATACTTAATGCACAAATAATCTTCTTGAATACATTAGTTTTTCCAACAATGTTCTTCAAGCTGGATCATATGGGAATTTGAAAAGAATGCCTTCTGTTCTGGGGCTCATGAAAGAATTTTAAGAGTTTATGTGCTAATACTTCTTTTCTTCCTCCACAATTGTCAGGGTCACGAGAATCTCCTAAACTGAGGAAAGTAATAGGAAAGCTTCAAGTAGAATTTCAACATGATACTGACAAAGCTTGTAGATCCTCGTACAAAAGTTAAGATGTCAAGAGTGCACGTCATTTGGAATCCAAAGATATTAATGATCATCTTCCTACTATCTTTGACAGCCTTTGCTCTGTTCTTCATTCTGGGAAATAAATCTTACAAGGCCACCTGGGTCAAAGAAGGTACGGGAATTCACAGTAATTCTTTACAGTTTATGCAAAATGTTACGATCTATTTGGCTGATAATATAATTCGATCCCCTTTTTTGGCAAAAATGACTTACTTGCATACTCTGTATCTTTGGGTTAAATTTCACATGGTTTCTCTTTTTTTTGATCCAGATGTGGAAGAAGATAAACATTCCTCATTGCCTAATAACAACAAACAGGTGGATGAGCTTCTTGGTGGGCTTTTGAAGGAAGGATTAGATGAGAAATCATGCCGAAGTCGGTACGAATCAGCATGGTATCATAAAGGGCTAAAACGCCAGCCTTCTTCACATCTCATCTCAACATTAAGAAGTTATGAAGCCCTTCACAAACGATGCGGACCGTACACAGAATCCTACAATAAAACCGTTGGATATCTCAATTCAGGGGAGTACAACAGTTCCAGTAATAATATTACAGATTGTAAGTATGCTGTTTGGACTCCTCAAGAAGGATTGGGAAACAGAATAATGAGTCTGGTTTCCACTTTCCTCTATGCTCTGTTAACAAAAAGGGTCCTTCTTGTTGACAGTAGAGTTCACATTTCTGATCTATTCTGCGAACCGTTCCCTGAAAGTTCTTGGTTGGTCCCCTCCGATTTTCCACTCATCGATGAGTTGTGGCAGTTTAGGAAGGAATCTAGCATGAGTTATGGGAATTTGATGAGGAACCATTTCATGCTTAGTTCGAATAACGGTTCTTGGATGATACCATATGTTTATATCCATCTGGTCGATAATTACAACGACGAAGATAAGCCTTTCTTCTGCGACGATGATCAAACCGTTGTCCAGGAAATACCCTGGCAAATCCTGAAATCAGACGAGTATTTCGTTCCATCTTTTTTCCTAATCCCATCTTTCCAACAAGAATTGGACCGCCTTTTCCCCGAAAAGGATACCGTCTTTCATCTCCTCGGGCGCTACCTAATTCATCCCGCAAACACGGTTTGGAGGGCAATCACAAGGTATTACAATGCCTATTTAGCTGGAGCACATGAAAAGATTGGGATCCAAATAAGAATCTTCAACAAAGAACCCAACCCTTTTGTGCATTACATGGATCAAATCTTCACCTGTGTGTTCAAGGAGAATGTGCTGCCCCAAATCAGTTGGACACTAAAATCTCTCTCAGGAAATTCAACAAACAGCACAAAGGCGGTACTTGTGACATCCCTGAGTTCTGAATACTATAAGGCCCTGAAAAACATGTTTGATGAGCACCCAACTATAACAGGGGAAATCATTCAGGTTTACCAGCCAAGCCATGAAGGGTATCAACAATATGGAAATGAAATCCACGATATGAAAGCTTGGGCAGAGATGTACCTCCTGAGCCTGACGGATAAGATGGTTACGAGTTCGAAATCGACTTTCGGGTACGTTGCTCAAAGTCTTGGTGGTATGAAGCCATGGATTCTTTACAGGCCTGAAGATTACAATGCCCCGAATCCAGCTTGTCAGCGTGCTTTGTCAATGGAACCTTGTTTCCATGCTCCTCCGGGTTTCGATTGCAACACCAATAACCCGATCGATACCGGTAAAGTTGTTCCCTTTGTCCGGCATTGTGAGGACATGCAATGGACCTGGGGACTTAAACTGTACGGCAAACAAGGGGAACAAGCGTTTGACAACTCCATTTATAGCTCTTCGGGTCCTCGTTTAGTTTTCGAATAAATCCGCGACTATTCCAAAATTATTATTCAGTGAATTTTCACTTTTAATTTAATTTGTACTAAAAATGAAATTCAAAACGGAATACTAATTTTGAGACCGAGAGAATATATAATACTCTTTATTACAGATTGGCACGTATATTCTTATTTTACACTATATATTAGACTGTTACAATACGATACCTCAAATTTACTAAAAAAGTGTCAAATATTTGGAGAGTGTTGGAACTTGGAACTAATGTTACTGTGTGATTGTAAGTGATCCAGGGGGAATTCTTCGTCGCTGATTAAAAAGCCTCTTTTTTATGAGTGACAAATTTTCATGAGATGAAGTATGAATTGCATCTTGTCGCACAGCATTTGTGATGGAGTAAAACGTGGGGGTAGTTGGAAATTTGGTATTACTCTTTATATATCCTTCAGAAACCATTGGAAGTTTATATACACTCCTCAGTCCTCACACTGAATTTCGAGATTTACACTAAAAAAAATACAAATCTTAAAACTCAATATGAACTATTTTTTGTGAGATGGAGTGAGTATATAATACTAACTCCGTCCCAAAAAAATAGTTCGCATTGAGTTTTTAAATTTGTACTAAAAACAGTACAAAACTCAAAACTTAATGTGGACTATTTTTATGGAACAGAAGGAGTATTTTTTTTGTAACTGGAGCAATGAATTATCATGAATGTACGGAAACAAAGAAAATGGAAGGAATATGTCATTCATGCTTCCGGTTAGTATGTTGATGATACTTGCAGGATAATAATTATAGATAATTCATGTGGTTGATCAGTTTATCAAATGACATAAGTTTTTGATGATCTTTTTCTATAAGTGATGGGTTAAACAACAAAACAGTTTAAATTCGTGTAAATTCCGTTCCGTCTGCTTCACAATACTAGTTCATATATACGGTTCTGGTTTTGGTTTGTTTGTTTCATTAGTTTAAGATTTTTGTTTGAACATTTTAAATATGTCAATATTTTCTTGGCTCTCTTAAGTTTTTCAAACACGATTACATGTAATAATAGCATAAACTGTCCTTAAAAAATTGGGGGTGGGCTTTGAAAGAAAAACACGACCATCGATCATAATTCTTAACACTAGAATTATAATGATATTAAAATATTATTTATAACAATTGAACCATCATTTTGATTTTCTTGATGGATGGAATATGAAATTCTAAAATTACGAAAAAAAATATCATAATTCTAGCATTGTTTTGTACTTGTGTAAGATTTTTCCGATGGGAGCCTCAAGACCTCAAGTCTGCTGTCATCATTATGAGGCATTTCAAGCAATCATCGTTTGAAACTTGAAAGAAATTCAGTCAAATTATTGGCCATTTTTGCAGTTTACTTGTTGGGGTCTGGTCAAGTTTCTTTACTGCTGGAGGTGTTGTCCATCAACCGTCTGGACAATTCGTCAGTGTTTTTTTAATTTTACTTCGTAAGCTAAACAAGCACTTTCATTAAATATAAGCATTTGTTATCGTTTAAGTTTTTTTTTGTAAAAGGTTATCGTTTAACTTAATAACTTAAAACCATAAACTTTCCAATCTCTAATTTTTAAATCATGTCGAAATCAAGGTAAAACTTTGTCATCGAGTCAACAAAAATGCTTTCAACTCGTACATTAAGGCCTCGTTGTTTCAAACTCACCTGTCAATCCTTTCTTAACAACTCCTTTATATCCAAATTAATCCTCATGGGAACTTGAAAAGAAAAGGTTTGATGATCAGTGAAACAAAGCACAAAACTTTTTCCACATCCGCCACCACTTTCTGAAATACTTTCTTCCGTGACAGGTCCAAATGAATCAAATATTGATGACAAAACTACCCGAAATATATATTGAAGTAACATATCTTATTGTTATTCCTCTGTAAACTAATTTTATGACTACATTACAATTGAAGTAACATAACTTACTGTTATTTTCTCTGTCCCAAAATTATCGTCCAGTTTAGATTTTTATTTTATTTTAATTTGTACTATAACCGAAAATCCAAACTGGATAATAATTACAGGACGGAGGGAGTATTTGGTTTGGGAGCGGTCTAGTTTGCATACATGTTCACTGATTTGATCAGATGAGGAAAAGGGAGTGATGCAGGATAAGTTTCTGGGAGGCCTAATTGCCGATTGATTTGATAAAACTTCTCTTTATGCTCTTTTAACACAGAAAAGTCCTCCTTGTTGATGATAATCAAGGTTACATTTCTGATCTTTTCCCGGAACCATTTCCCAACTCTTCTTGGCTAATTCCATCTAGATTTCCCCCAATCATTAAGGGGTTCGAGACCATTTGCAAGGATTCTCCCCAAACTTATTGGAATATTCTCAAGAAAAAGAAGGAAAAACTTTAAATTCCGCCTTATGTTTACTCTTCTTAGGCTTATGCCCATGACAATTATGACAAGCGTTTCTTCTGTGATGAAGATCAAACAGTTTTCCCACAGAAAGTTCCATGGTTCTTCCTGATGTTATATGTGTATTATGTCCTTCTCTGTTTTGATGCCATCTTTTCAAGAAGAACGCCTTAACCTATTTCCGAAGAAAGAAACTGTTTTCCATTTCTTTTGGAAGGTTTCTGTTTCATTCGACGAATTCAGGGTGGAGTTTCATCAGCCCAGTATAACAATACCTATTTAGCAGGTGCGTATGAAAAGATAGGTATCCAGATTAGAGTCTTTAATCCAATCCCTGAATATAAAATCTTGTGTTAGATCAGATTTTGGCTTGTGTAATCCAGGGAAGTGATCTACTTCCAGGCCTCAACGAGACGAAAACAGAAACTTTTACACCAGGAAAAACCAACAACAAGACTAAAAAAGTTGCCCTGATGACATCTCTTAGCTCTAAGTACTATGATGGAATGAAGAAAATGTACGAGGAACATCCAATTCAGGTGTACCAACCAAGCAATGAAGTGAAAAACAGAACAGTTCGGATCGGGTTCATAACATGAAAGCCTGGACAGATAGATACATCTATTGAGCCTGAATGACAAATTGATCACAAGTTCAAAATCGACTTTCGGGTATGTAGCTCATTAGCTCAAACCCTTGGAGGGGTTGAGGCCATGGATTCTTTACAAACCCGATGAATACAAATCGTCTACATTTCCAGCTTGTCGGCTTACCCTGTCGATGGAACCCTGTTTTCATACTCAACAATGCTGGATTCCCTGGATTGCAAAACTGGTGAAAGGATCTATACAGGAAAATTTATAGGTCATGTAAGGCACTGTGATGATTGGACTAGGGGTCTTAAACTTTATAATGACAAAGATGATGAGCCTATATTCACCAGTTCCATGATCATTGGTTCTTTTGAATAATTTGGAATCAGAGCAAAATATCAGTGGTTGAGAATCAGCCGCATCATATTTGCAGAGATGCAGCAGAAATGTCTTGTTCTTTCTTGGCCTTCTGGATGTCCATTCCTTTTACCATATATTTTTTCATTTGATAATAACCATGTGTAATATGCACGATTCGTGGATTGTTTTGGATTATTCCCTCCATTTCAACATCCTTGTTCGGTTGAATTTTCAATTTTAGAAAAACAAAAATACCAACAAAATTATCTCAAATTTAATTAGGACAGTATTTTGGTACTGCCCGCCTTGTTGCGAGATACATAGATATTTCATCTCAAACTAGATGATTTGTCCGGGCGCTTGTGTCTTAAAATTGTTAAATAAAAAAATTATAAGTAAAAAGGTATATTTTAGAGTAATAATATGTATAATATAATATTATAATGCAGATCACGATAACGTAAAATTTTGTACTTGTAAGTAAATAATAATTTTTTTATATACAATTCTAATCGTATAAAAAATCTTTTGTTTTCTACCTGTTGGTCATGCCTATTGGCTGATAACAAATTACAATACTATTGAGATAAAATCTCTTGAACTAACTAATAAATATTCAGTGGTAGAATCCTTGGATACAATATCCTGATTGTCACAATGGAAAACTAATCATCTTTTGCTCCCCTGGTATTGATCTCCTGTGATAGTATGATGGAATTTTCTTGGTTTTCTCGTTGTTAGGTTTTAAGTCAAATTTTAAGGATTGATGTCTTCTTGATTGAGCCAGTTGTCTGCTGGAGCAAAAATATTAAGAGGATTGCCTTCATTTTCATTGAGCCAATTGTATTATATTGAGCAAAAATACTTGATTGGGATATTATATATTTGATTGAGCCAATTGCATGCTGGAGCCTATTTTCATTTAACCATTTTGTATTTACAGAGATTGGAGAGATGTTATTCGCAGTAATGTTTCACGTGATTTAAGGATATTTTTTTACATTTGATTTTATCAACTCAAGTTTCTTGTTTTAAGGGATTAGTATATAGCTATAATTAAGGGATTAGTATGGAACTATAATTAAGAGATTTATTTATTTATTTATTTATTCCATTTTTTTAATGAATTGTTAGATTGCTACATGTCAAAAATGATTTTGTACTGAAAATAACTTTTAGCGGAAAAATTTTCATTGTGGTGCTGACACATCAGTAACTTGTGTGGTGCTTTAATTAAGAACTATAGATTCACTATTAAAGAAAATAACTTGATCAACTTGGTTATTCAATTTGTATTCCAATTTTAATAGATTTCATGAGTAGAGTAGTTTTTTTTTTCATTAATTCTATTTACATCATATATCATCATCACGGATACTAGACGGTAAATTATCTGGTACACCCGAAGGTACCGTGTCCCCTCCTGTGCGTGTACTTTACTCTCTTATAATAGCGTTAGTCCGCTCTTATAATTCAGCTTTCTTTTTCTTTGTTTTTTAAACGCGAGGTTATATAAATAACCGAATTCATTCAAATTTGAAAAACTTTGTGATGGAATGGGCGATGGGCGGCAGCGATCGAGGCGTTGACGCGGCAATGGAAGTCGGCGATCGAGGCATTGAGGTGGACACGGCCGGGGGCGATCGAGTCGTTGAGACGGCGACGGCG